CAATCATAATTGAGTTACTTGGCAAACACGAGGTTAATGTTATATCGGAAAAGGAAGTACGTGGCTCTCGCTTGCAAGAAGCGCCTAACGCAGTCTACTGAGCTTCAACGGTTTCGCGCACCGCCGTCATCTTTACAGTAAACATCAACAGCGACGCCTGCACTCTGTCGGACAATTGAGCGATCGCACGTTTCTCACGTACCCGCCTTGTTCTATTTGCTTGTAGCATTCATTCAACCCCGACGAAGTATTGACACCATTTCCTATCGCTGAAATGCGGTAGTGAAACCAATCCTTACGCATTATACATGTATTTACAGGATGTATGTTTCAAGAGCAAAAAGTAGAGCAAAGGTAGTAGATGTTCAACTGACCACCGTCGTTTTGCTTACAGAGCAGTATTCGCTCGCTGCTATTGGATAGAACTTTCTGCATAGTGTCCACCGATATCCCACGACATTCGTTGACGATTCTCAGTTTCGGTTCTTCGGCCTGCAGCTGCGGAATGACACAGGTCTGTTATATTTCTTTGTAGGAGAATGCTAACAAATGTGAAGCGCTAGTTCTGTTACTGAATCAACTTAACCATCATAAAAGTTAAAGAAGTAGATGTTCAAAATATCCACCGCCGTTGTGCTTTTAGAGCAATACTCGGCGGATGCTATTAGCTAGCACTTTCTGCAATAGGTCCACTGATATATCGCGGCATTCGTTTACGATATTCCGTATCAGTTCCTCCAGACAGATGAGTGCTTGTACACAGTAACCTACCGGTCACATAAAAGGAAAGAAAGATGGTCCAACGATTTCGCAATAAGAATACATACCGTGAAAGCTTGACTTATTGATCCTTGTGAATTTGATATTTGCAGTATTCAGCAATATGTGTCAGAATAGTTAGCACAGGGATAACTGGCTTGTGGTGGTCACTATGGGTGAGAACCCACATGTGTGTGCTGTGGTCCCACGATTCGTCAATCAGTTCTGCGAGCAAACGAGCTTCGCGCTTTGTGAAATAGGTGAATCTCAGTATCCGCGAGGATTAGATATTGCCTAGAAATGCAGCTTCTCAGTTCCATGCTAATGGAATATTGCCTCATCAGTGAATATGTTGGAATGAACGCTCATGTGCGGCAGTGGAGACAATTTTCGTTCCCATCATTGTCACTGAAATAAATTGGGCAGCGTAACCTTAGTTGTTTCTTGCACTTCGGATCATGACTGTGATGGGAGAATAGGCTATGCGGCAGCGAGTAGTCTTTACATAACATAGCTTTTTAAGACTCCTTTCTCAAAACGTCACATTTCATATTTGCAAGGCCTAATTGTAAGAAATGCCTATTTTACTAAGGTGGGTTGTTGGAAGCTAACTTTCAGTCTACAAGAGCGTTGCCAATAAGCCTTTTGTCATTATCTGGGGATAACACTAAGCACCTATTGAACATTCCTTGCTCAGGCCAGTTAGGCCTGTCCAAGCACAAGCACAATTCTACCGCAGTAGCCCGGTAATGATGTACTGGTGTCTTGATTTGCACGCCTGTCTTCGTTCCAACCAGCCTGAAACACGGTATGTATCGATTGGTGAACTTGCCATTTGGCGTGCCGTAGTTTGACTTCAACTCAACCATCCGCGCCCATCCAGCGTTTTCACGATGGACGAGACTGGCAAGTACACCTGTACACAGGTGCATGCATACGGTCGTTCACACCTATGTGACCGGGTGAGAGACATTTTGAGATAGACCAACATCTACTATTAGACAGTTGGCAATTTAATGTGTAGTGTTAATAGCTTTTTCATTTTTTGCGCTTTCCTCATTTCGTCTTCCTATGCGTCTTTTACAGTTGTTTTAATTGATCGTTTTTACATATACACAATTCTCAACCTCGAACGGCGCGTTCTGCTTTCCTGCGGCGGCGTGTTGAGATTCTGTCTGTGTGCTTGGGGAAGTCTGAGCTTCGCGGAACCAACACTGGAATATCGTATCAGGGAGTGTACAATATTAGTGGAGTTAGTCTAACCGTCACTACTGAAGGTCAGCGTGTTGATACTTTTATCTGACATTAATTCTTTCCTTCTGGTGCGGTAGTCTAAGACTAGTTTTCACTGCACTACATATTTGGTGATCCGTGTTTTTCTTTTTTTTCGTACTGGAATTTGTTTTTCGCTTGCATAATGTCGTCCAGTACCACTCCCTACATTGATTCTTCTGAAAATTTTGTTGGTTTTTCCCTACCCGCTTTTGACGTTAACAATGCACGTGTCTGGTTTTTACAGTTAGAAGCTCTTTTCCGTTGCCGTAGAATCACTTCTCAAAGTTCTATGTTTTCCTACGTCGCTGCCCATCTTCCCACGCACATAGCCGCCGATGTGGTTGACCTACTCGACCCTGTTCCTACTGATTCCCCCTACGATAAGCTTAAGGCTGCCGTTTTGAAACGCCTTACAGCTTCTGATGAGACCAGACTTCATCAACTTCTCTCCGGAGTTGAACTGGGTGATCGTTCACCTTCACAGCTTCTCCGTTATATGCGCTCTCTCGTAGGTTCCTCTAAAGTCGACGACAGTGTCTTACGTCAATTGTGGCTAAAATGTCTTCCATCCAACACTACGGCGATTCTCGCTGTATCCGCCGACGATTTGTCACTTGACAAACTAGCAGAAACGGCCGACAAAGTTCATGAGTGTTTCTTTCAACGCCCAGTTTGTCACGCCGTTGTCAACCCACCTGAGACTTCCTCGTCATCAGATCCCATTGAATCCATTTGTCAGAGACTGTCCATACTCGAACTCGCCGTTAAGAGAGGACGTCGCCCCCGCAGTCGAAGTTTTAGATCCACTTCGAGAAGCAGAAACAGACACGCTAGGAACACTGGACAGCATATTTGCTATTATCATCGACGTTTTGGTGATGCCGCTAAAAATTGTCGTCCTGGTTGCTCGCATCCGAAAGCCTTCCCCAAGGCTCAACAGGGAAACGCCCCAGCCAGCCAGTAATGACGACGACTTCGGCTGGCCGATCTTCTAGTCGCCTGCTTTTTGTCCGTGATTCCACAACCAACCTTTCATTCTTGGTTGACACTGGAGCCGAGGTCAGCGTTCTGCCTCGTGGAATGGAAAAACGCTACCTCATTCCCACAGGACCTCTCCAGGCGGCTAATAACACGAGAATCCAGACCTACGGTCAGAAGTTGCTTACTCTCGATCTTGGTCTTCGACGAATATTTTCTTTCGTTTTCCTGATCGCAGATGTGCAACGTTCCATTACTGGTATCGATTTCCTCACCCAATTTGGTCTTATTGTTGACTTACGTAACAGGGAACTTTGTGATAGTATCACCTCCCTCAACACTCCGGGCAGAGCCACTTCGATCAGCTCGATCGGACTTCGCATGACTCTACTTACTAACATTGTGTTCACCGAGTTACTCCAACAGTTCCCCGCGTTGTATCTGCCGTCCAATAATTTTCCCGCACCTAAAAACGAGATTGTGCACCACATCGTCACTCGTGGACCACCGGTCACGTCTCCACCTCGCCGACTACCACCCGATAAACTCGCCAACAGTTCAGGGTTAAGATATCTTTTCGGTAAAATCTCGTCAGACCCAAACTTTTACATGACACGGATTATGTGGGGTAAGCGTCAAATCCGGCTGGGATTGATTTCTAAGGTGTTTGAAAGGTCAAGATCGATGACTAAAGGTGGCTACAGATGGTAGGAAAAGTGCATCAAAGGAAATTAATACAAGCTTCAGGGCCTAAAGTAAATAGCTAAGGTCACAAAGGGTAGTTAAGTAACCATGTCAGTCGGCCAAGGTAGTAGTATCGGCCGTATGAATCGTTTGTGTACGCATAATTCCGGCTTCAGATGATGGATGTAAATAGCCTCGGCGATAGACAAGATTTGCTTTCGGAAGCCTTGTGATAAGCGTTCAGGTAGTGAATAGATGACTTTAAAGTCATTCTCAGATGCAGTATGGCCACTTTCGAGGAGGTGCGACATGATTGAGCTGTCTGAGGCCCTCATTTCGCCTTTGTAAAACCACGCCGGGATGTGCTCGCGAATCCTCTGGGATAGACGTCTCGTTGTGCGACCCACGTATCGTGCACCACAAGAGCACGAGTACTGATAAACGAGCATTGAACGGGTCAACGATGGCAGACTATCTTTCAAGGGTTTTGCAAGCAATGGTTTGTTGTGGTAAACAATTCTTAAGCGGGCTGCGAAATAAGTTTTCTCAACAGCATCTTTCAAACGTCGAGACAGGATATCAGCTGCAGTGTCGCCCTTAAATGGTAAATGTATGAACAGCTCTTTCTTGGGAGCAATGCTTCTAGGTGGCTTTTGCTTGCGTTCTTTCATATGCTTCATGATAAACTTATCGGGATAACCATTCTCACGAAGGGCGTCGCTGATTCTCTGTAGCTCTTCGTTGACGGTATCCGGAGTGCAAATACTGCGCGCCCTGAAGGCAAGAGATCGGATTAAACTCCTCTTGTGCTGTAAAGGCACTGCGCTGTGAAAGTTAGTGTACTGTCCAGTCCACGTATGCTTTCTGTGTACCTTTCTGCTACATGAGCCGTCCGAATTGCGGATGACTTCTACATCCAAGAAAGGTAAACGGTTTTTATTTTCGTGCTCACAGGTGAAGCGTAGATTATTATGTGCATCATTAAAGGCCTTCAGCAACTGTTCTGCATGCTTTTCGGATTCGCAAAGCACGAAGGTGTCATCGACGTACCGTATGTACATTTCAGTTCCACAGATGTGCTTCCTGAGTGGACCATGTTCTAATTTCGCCATAAAGATATCAGCCAACAACGGCCCCAAAGGAGATCCCATGGACACTCCATCAATCTGACGGTACATCTCACCATTGAACATGAATTGAACATTTAACGTGCAGCGAAATGTTCAATTCATGTTCAATGGTGAGATGTACCGTCAGATTGATGGAGTGGCCATGGGATCTCCTTTGGGGCCGTTGTTGGCTGATATCTTTATGGCGAAATTAGAACATGGCCCACTCAAGACGCACATCTGTGGAACTGAAATGTACATACGGTACGTCGATGACACCTTCGTGCTTTGCGAATCCGAAAAGCATGCAGAACAGTTGCTGAAGGCCTTTAATGATGCACATGATAATCTACGCTTCACCTGTGAGCACGAAAATAAAAACCGTTTACCTTTCTTGGATGTAGAAGTCATCCGCAATTCGGACGGCTCATGTAGCAGAAAGGTACACAGAAAGCATACGTGGACTGGACAGTACACTAACTTTCACAGCGCGGTGCCTTTACAGCACAAGAGGAGTTTAATCCGATCTCTTGCCTTCAGGGCGCGCAGTATTTGCACTCCGGATACCGTCAACGAAGAGCTACAGAGAATCAGCGACGCCCTTCGTGAGAATGGTTATCCCGATAAGTTTATCATGAAGCATATGAAAGAACGCAAGCGAAAGCCACCTAGAAGCATTGCTCCCAAGAAAGAGCTGTTCATACATTTACCATTTAAGGGCGACACTGCAGCTGATATCCTATCTCGACGTTTGAAAGATGCTGTTGAGAAAACTTATTTCGCAGCCCGCTTAAGAATTGTTTACCACAACAAACCATTGCTTGCAAAACCCTTGAAAGATAGTCTGCCATCGTTGACCCGTTCAATGCTCGTTTATCAGTACTCGTGCTCTTGTGGTGCACGATACGTGGGTCGCACAACGAGACGTCTATCCCAGAGGATTCGCGAGCACATCCCGGCGTGGTTTTACAAAGGCGAAATGAGGGCCTCAGACAGCTCAATCATGTCGCACCTCCTCGAAAGTGGCCATACTGCATCTGAGAATGACTTTAAAGTCATCTACTCACTACCTGAACGCTTATCGCAAGGCTTCCGAAAGCAAATCTTGTCTATCGCCGAGGCTATTTACATCCATCATCTGAAGCCGGAATTATGCGTACACAAACGATTCATACGGCCGATACTACTACCTTGGCCGACTGACATGGTTACTTAACTACCCTTTGTGACCTTAGCTATTTACTTTAGGCCCTGAAGCTTGTATTAATTTCCTTTGATGCACTTTTCCTACCATCTGTAGCCACCTTTAGTCATCGATCTTGACCTTTCAAACACCTTAGAAATCAATCCCAGCCCGATTTGACGCTTACCCCACATAATCCGTGTCATGTAAAAGTTTGGGTCTGACGAGATTTTACCGAAAAGATATCTTAACCCTGAACTGTTTTCTGGTCTTGATTCATCTGATTACAATAGGAATATTTGCTGTGTTGAAAATCAGCATTGCCCGTGATTCGTTGAAAACTCGCCAACGCCAAAGCCGAGTTTGAGCACATGCTCCGCCTTGGTATCGTCCGGCCTTCTAATAGTCCGTTGTCTTCACCTTTGCACATGGTCCCCAAAAAGTCTCGTGGAGATTGGCGACCTTGCGGTGAGTACAGTCAGCTTAATAATGTCACTGTCCCTGACAGGTATCCGGTACCACATATTCAAGACTTTTCTATTGGCCTAGACGGCAAAGCAATTTTCTCTAAGATTGATTTGGTCCGGGCATATTACCAAATTTCTGTCGTCCCTGATGACATTCCCAAGACAGCTATAACCACACCCTTCGGTCTTTATGAATTCGTCCGTATGCCTTTTGGACTACGAAACGCCGCACAAACATTTCAACGATTAATTGACCAGGTTCTCCGAGGACTTGATTTCGTTTTTGCTTATATCGATGACATTCTCGTGGTCAGCTCTAACCACGAAGAACATCTCTCTCATCTTCGACAAATCTTTGAGCGTTTTGATCACCTTGGCGTTACCATCAACGTGGATAAATGTGTCTTTGGCCAGTCCAGTGTTGATTTTCTCGGTCATCGAATCGATCGCACCGGAATCAGTCCACTCACGGAGAAAACAAAAGCAATCACAGAGTATCCGATGCCGCAGTCCTACAAAAGCCTGCGCCGTTTCCTCGGTATAGTGAATTATTACGGCCGCTTTATACCTGATTGTTCTAAACTGCTTCAACCTTTAACCGACTTGCTTAGAGGAAAGACTTGAAAATTCAAACCCACGGACGAAGCAATAGACGCAATCGACAAGATTATACATGCTTTGTCTAACGTCACAGCACTGAGCCATTTACGGACTGATGTTAATACACCTCTCATCCTTAAAACCGATGCGTCACAAACCGCAGTTGGAGCTGTTCTGCAGCAACTCATCAATGGTCATCCAGAACCATTATCCTTTTTTCCCGCAAATTACAGCCCGCACAAACTAAATATAGCACCTTCAGAAGAGAACTCTTGGCCATCTCTCTCGCCATTAAACTCTTTCGACACCTCCTTGAAGGTTGTTCATTTACCATTCTAACTGATCACAAGCCACTTGTTTTTGCCTTTCGGGGTTCTTCGGACCGCTTTTCCCCTTGTGAAACCCGACATCATGATTACATATCGCAGTTCTCTACGGACATCCGTCATATAGACGCCACTGACAACGTGGTAGCCGACGCAATGTCCCGCATTGGAATTCAGGAACTTTCACGTCCGACCTTTGATCTAGAGGAAATCGCTGCGCATCAGGAGGGAGATTCTGAGTTTATGCAAATGAAATCAAACCCTTCGATCAAACTTACCCTTCTGCCACTTCTTAACTCTGACTCCAAAGTTCATTGTGACATGTCTACGGGTAAGCCCAGACCCTACGTTCCCCAACGTTACCGCCGAGTCGTTTTCGATCATTTCCATGGGCTCTCGCACCCAGGCATTCGAGCTACTGTTAAGTTGATCACAGATCGCTTTGTTTGGCCTAATATGCGCTCTGACATCCAACAGTGGGCAAAGCACTGTGTTACTTGTCAAATCAGCAAGATCCATCGCCATACAATCACTGTCCCTGGCAACTTTTCATCACCGGATGCTCGCTTCAGGCATGTCCATTTGAATATCGTTGGTCCCTTGCCCCCTTCCAACGGTTTTCAATACTTGCTGACATGTGTTGATAGATTTACACGTTGCCCGCATGTAGTACCATTACGCGACGTTTCCACCGAAACAGTAGCGCGAACCTTCATCGAAACCTGGATTTCGTTCTTTGGCACACCTGCTACTATCACGACAGACAGAGGTCCGCAGTTCACTTCTTCGTTGTTTCGTGACCTAAGTCGTTTGCTCGGTTGTTCTCACATATGCACCACCGTTTACCATCCCGCTGCCAATGGTTTGGTCGAACGCTTCCATCGCCAACTGAAAGCGTAACCACCAACAGTCACACGTGGGTAAAGAATACTACGACGGTCGTCCGCTCCCCTAAGCAAGCTCGAAACCGCGCCCTCGGATTACGAGGCAGGTTTGTGATTCTTAAGGTTTCGGGCCGGTACAGATTGGAGGGACTGTCGCGCAAAGTGATGACTTAGCTATGACTCAGTGAAGTGTGTGCTGCGGTGCTTTTGTTTGCAGTCACGGTTAGCCAAAGAAGCAGAATTCCGATCAACAGACTGATAAGCAGGGGTAAACTGCGTGAGCTACAAGGCGGAATGTAAGAGAACAATAAATAAAAGGGGTCAGCTCAGAGTGAAAATTCAACCCTGGAGTGAGGAACAGTGGCGTCTTTCGAACAAGCCAGAACGAAAATCGCGACGATAACGAAGCGCAACAGCAACGAGAATGGAACCGGAACAAGTCGAAAAGAACAAGTAGAAGCTGAACAGGCTACAAACGAATTGTTGGGCTTACTCTCTTCAACAGCATTGCTACAAAGAGGGTGGAGGCATACAGATACTGATTAAATTCGTTAACAGCCGAGAACCAGCATGAAATGAAGAGAGAGAGAGAAAATGTGCAAATGTGTATTATGTACAAGCTGGAAAGGTTTACACAGCATCACAAGAACTTGAACGAGTATGTAGTGAAAATAGCACATCGGTAGGACGATGTCAGTCAGTTGTCAGCGGACTCCAAAATGGCCGCACTGTAAGCCAAATCCCAGTAATGTTCCACATCCCGCTTGCGAAACTGTTCTCGGGCAAACAGCTCTGTGGGGCAGACGCGAAACTGTAACTTGTCAAAAGCGCGCTGGGCGACGGTACCCTGAAGGAGGCGGGGCGGAAAACAGAGTGGATATCTCAGTAAAAAGGACCAGAAGATCAGCCATTCGCTGCATACCGACAAAGGATGGGGAAGATCAAAGTCATAATTCATTTGCAACAGGTAGTATATTGTCGTAGAAGGATCTGAAAAACACCAACAGAATGCATCGAAATTCTAGGCGGCTACAAAGCTAGAATCATGGTGAACGACAAGGTTACAAGTATGGGAGTAAACGAACCTGTATTTGCTTTTGAGAAAACAACAGTCCAAATTCCCCATCCAAGCCAGGCGCCCTAACCTCGTTTTAACGTCTCAGCCTCTAGTAATTCCAAGTGACTTATCTCGCTCTCCCATAAGTGAAAACATTGTCCGCAGCGTGCCCGCTTCAACTTTTCTCCAGTGTGTCACACACATTAGTTTGTTCCCCATACAAGAGACCAAAAGCTACATTGGACATTAACCATGGTAAAAACTAGGATGGAAGATGTAAGCGGATGAGAAGTAAGGAAAGCAGCAACAGCAACACGCGCGATTACAAACCAATGAACTTATTATACGGCTACCGGAATGAAGTCAGTGAAATGGCTTCCAGTTTCGTCCTCATTTTGACTCATCGGGAAGTGACTCAATTGGTCTGTTGTGACTCATCTACACCGTCATACCTAGAACACTTCAAGATTACCGTACGGCCCTATATTGACTGACCCTTTAATGAGGGACACTCCGATTGACATGTCAACCTTGCATTCTCAGAATTTCTGGGGCTTGGAGTACGGTAGAGATTACCGTTTAGCCAGTGAACCGAGACGATTGTGAATGATCGAAAGCGGATAGCAATGTCCGCGTGAGTTAATCAGCGGTGGTACTGAGGCGGTTTCAGATACCTATCAAAGGAGTCCTCAACCGTATCGACAAACTTCTCCGTGCAGAGCGATAGTGTTGAGCCGAAGGTAGTTATGATAAATATCTACGTCCCGGTTTCCATTTTTCTAGTTCAGATGTATATGCCTAAGGGCAAAAAGAGCGAAAAAGGAATGGCGTAACGCGAAACAGGTATCTGCTTCAGATGTGGCCCCAGTGACGGAAGGGACTAGCGTCCCTTGCGGAATAAACCGAGACTGCGCGTCATAAGCAAGCCGCACAATTAGCGCAAATAAATGAATAAATATATGGGTACATGTCTTGACGAGCGGGATACGTTCCGTTTTGCGGAACAATGACCTGTACAGCGAGTTTCGTTATTATTTCATGTGTAAACTCCAGTTAAAGTGGAATGATTAAGAAATGTTCGGCTGCGTGTGTTACAAGGAACACTACTTGATAGTTAATATTGTTATGTTGTTCTGGCCCAATTTCATGAGCGCGCTCGTGGATTGCTGAAGGCCGAGAGGTTTGAGCACGTTTGGTAAGAAAAGAAACATTTTTAAATTAGTTTTAGGAATGACTAGGCTCCGACAGGTCCTTAATCACAACGGTATTTTACTCCAGAGATGGGCGTACATCACCAAGGAGAGATGTAAGTGGATATCTTTCTTGGTGCTCTGTAAGATAAGCAGACATTTCCCATTTCGAGTGGGATAAATTGAGCCATTAGGTAATGCGACGGTCGTACCGGTTGAGTAAACTCGCGAGTAAATGATGTTGTAGAGATGAGTGAGATTAATTTGCAGATGGTCAGGTAGAAATGAGTAAACTAATTTGATGTCGACCGCAAACACAAATAAACGCCTGTTTCTAATGTGATCACATATATTATTTAAGTAAATGAGGAAAAGCAATGGGGTAATACAATTTGCAGAAAAACACCGCTCGTGACATTTGTAAAAGTTAAACAATATTGACCAATAAGTACACTTTGTGTTTGGCCGTTAACAAATGAATCGAACCAGCTCAAGAAGGTTGGTGATTCCACAGGACTGAAGCACATCCTCGTCAACAGCAGCAGTACATCGGCCATTTGATCTGATGCTTAGCTGTCATACAATCATGATGACCTACGGAACGAAGAATAATAAGAGGGAGAGAAGGGGGACTTCCCGAAAAATATCTTAATGTCTTAAGCAAACATTCAGGGTCAAGGCGCATACACTTTGTAAACAACATACCGTCACAAACAGCTGGCTATCATGTAAAGATAAGGCGACATCGGCGAGAAAGCTTCCTTGAGGCTTTCACTGCCCCGCGAGATAATCAGCCTCGGAATACTGGTAGCTCGGGTC